TTTGAGTCCTAGTTTAAACTACTATAGCCTACAGCTTGAGAAGAGTTAGTCAAAAGTTTATTTAAAATTTTTGTTAAGAAATAGCTTTCTTGGGAGAAGAGTTTCTGAAAACTTCAGCATTTTCAGCCTGAACTGTGAGACAGGAGTTGTGCCCCACAGGGCTCCTGTTGCACATCCCAGCACAGCACTTGCCTGAATTTCAAGTCCTGTCTCACCAGGGTCATGGTAAACACCAAAAAACAGATTCACTCTTTCACCAAAGACTACTGCTTCATTCAGCTGATCACCAATCAGCCAAAATAACTGCATGATAATTATGTAATACATGTGCATGATGGAAAGTTTAAGACCTCTAAGTGCCCTCTCTCACAGATGCTGGTAAGATTCAAGAAGTAGTTTTGATGATTTTCACCACCATTTCTTTAGCAGCTGCACTGCTTGAGCTATTAATGATGTCTGTGTTTTTAAGTAATAGCTGTAATGTATTTTTCTACTACTTTCTTCTCATTATAAATTAAACACCCAAGCTATATTCACTTAATACCACAGAGAAAAGAGAAACAAAGAAGAATAGGGAAAAAAGGTCACTCTCAGGCCAAGATCAAGTCTGGAAAATTTCAACTTGAGACAAGAGCATTTCAGGAAGTTATAAGCAACTGAAACAATGAAGGAATTATAATTGAAACACTGCAAGAAATTTAACTATAGCTCTTTCTATGCTAACCAACACCCAGAAACTCAACAGCACTCAGAAATTCTTCTTGACATTAATGATATGTGATTTCAAAATCACTCTGAACGTCCTCAAAAAAGCAGAAGAAAGGGATGGTTGGTGTTGGCCACAGCTGCAGCTGATGGAGATCAGCACAGCTCCTTTGCCTTTGATGACATCAGTGAGTCACAGGAAGAGCAATAAAAAGGAGATAAACCAAAATCCCCTAACTTGTAACAGCTCATCTAGTTTACTTATGCGTTGTTTCGCCCCCCAGCACAGAAGTGCCCTGTCTGCCGGCCTCTCACCAGAGCAGCTAATTGAAATGTGGCATGTTCTGATGCCTCCTGCCAGGCTGTGTTCTTCAGTTCAAGAGAAATGGATACTCAAACCACAAGTTCAACATTTTTGTTCCCACCTCATCCTAGCACATTCCCCACAACTCCTTGCCCTTCTCCTCACAGGAGGGCAATGAACAGAATGAAGCCTAATCAAAGTTATCCCTGTCTCTCCAGAACAGATTTATGATTGTGAACAGACTAAATGAACCCTTTTTTTTTTTCACTGCTCTAAACACAGGATCTAAAAAGGCATTCTATAATTGCTGAACTCCCATTGAAATAACTCTAAAATGAACATTTTTCTGAACAGTCCTCCGTGAAAAACTTCAGACATTCTATGAAAATTCTACATGCCAACTCAGGCATTTAAGTATCTACGCCTCCTGAAAAAAACAAAACAAAACAAAAACAAAACAAATCCAAACCAAAAAAACCCAAACAAAACCCAAAACCAAACCAAAACAAACAAAACAAACAAAAAAACCAAAACACACCACACTCCAATGTTTCAAATTCATTCCACTTGACTCCAATTAACAAGTATTTGCAAAGGGCCATACACCAAGTGTCTAATACAATGTGCTAGAGGTACTGCCACCAACATCTTCATTTAAGTTCTTTCCACACACTGTGATACTGTGTTTCAGTCAGAAACTAGGTCATAAACTTCTCTATTGGAAAGCGTTTATAGCTGTTTGGACTGGATTATTCTGTTCAAGAGGTTATAATAATAAAGGAAGCTTGCAAGCATACTTTTTCCAAACTCTTGGTATGTCATTGCCAGTTTGAGAAATTGGCTCATTACTTATGCCTCTTTGGCTCCTCTGCTCTCAATTCCTCATTTGTTTTGACCCCTTTCTGGACAAAATATAAAACTTACTGTTTCATCTAATTAACAGGAGGGAGAAAATAGAAAACTCTCTCATTTATTCCAGTTCCAGAATTAGTTTTACAAAAACATTGTCAGAGTTTCAAGAAGCATTCAGATGTTAAGAGTCCTGCCAAAGTTTACAATCTAGCTATATCCTGCTACAGAAAAAAAAAAAACAAAACTGCTCTGTTTTTACAATTTTATAAAAGTCTCTGGCAAGAAACAGTCCACCTCCACATATTCACATGCATCCACATGATCAGTGGATAAACCTTATTCTCTTTAGCCTAATCAAATTGTCCAACTCACTTTCTCCATTACCAAACTCTCTCAACACATTTTTCTCAGCCACTCCTTCCTGTACAGGCAAGCAAAGCAGTAGATTTGCCCTTCTCCCCACCACAACCCCAATTTGAAGGCTTAAAACAGTGAGCAAACACTTCACCCACAGTTCTAGTATCGCAAAGCTTTTTCATTTGAGGTTCCTTCTTTTGGTTCTCCATTAAATAGCTGCTCGTATTGTACCACGAGTTCAGTCTCCATCAGCCCACCCAGAAGGGATTTGGGGGAAAACCTTTGCCCATTTCCTGGGGACGTGAGGAACAAGGTTTCCTCTAAGTGAGAAAGCTGGCTTGGCAGTCCTTTACATGCTCTTCCATGAGTCATAAGAATGTGCACAGTGGAGTCATCTTCAACTGAAATAGCCTTAAACGATATGCTACATACAACTTGCCTTGTACCTCATAAGGCATATAGATGCAGAAGGGAAAATGAAGGCAGATGGGATAGTTGGTTCTGTAATCAGAAACAGCTATTAAGTCCAAGATCTCTACTGTTTTTAGCAAAAACAAAAATCAAGAGAAAAAATAAACTGAGCTTCTATCCAGCTGTATAAATTCTGTCTCCCAAGTATTGTCTGCCAAGGAGAATCATAATAATTAAATAATTCTCCTTCATCTGGATCTAAAATTTTAGCTAAGAGCTTGTTTTTTATTGCTTGCTTCTACAAAATTTTAAAGTCTTTACTCTTGAAAATGTAGTACTCTGTATTCTGTAGTTAGCACATTCAAAGTATAAAATTTTACCTTTTCAAAGAGGCTCACCTTCAGCAAAGCCATAGCCTTTTCCAGTTCTGCAACCCTACCACAATAGTTCACATCGTATATATTGCATAGCGTATTTCTGTGACTCCATCTAAGCAAGTCAGGTAGATTTATGGAATTCACACTTTATTCCATAGCCTTGACACATCAGCTGGAATATGTACAATCAGGTCCTCAGTGCAATGATTTTGCAGCAAAAGTATCATTGAGCAATTCCTCTTTAGTTTTTACTCCACCTAAAGTTTCTGTGAACTCAAGAGCAATGTTTGAAGTGTGTGAAAGAAAGGCAACAAGAAAAAATACAGTTCAGTTCTGATTAATGGTTCTATATTTTAATATGTTGCTGAGTGTGTGTCCCCAGGATATTTTAAATTTATGATGGTTTCTTCCACACAATCTCGAATTCTCAGGAAAAAAATGGCCAGGATGACTGCCTTACAGCTTAAATGACATATCATCTTCTCTATTGCTTTCTCTAATTCAAGGAGGTACAGAACATAAAGGTCATCCTTTCCTACCACTCCACCAGAGCAGAAAAGGCTCAGTTCAACTCCTGATTCTCCTGGGATGTCAACTTAGTCCCCAGGTAAAATGAAATTAGCAAGTAGGAGGTTCAAAACTAACTTCAGGAACTACTTGCTCTCTCCCTCACAGCATTCAGCTTGGGAATCCTGAACAGTATGAAGTTGCAGAGCCTAAAAATTCACCTAGGTTCAAAACATAACCTTACAAATTCACAGAAAGGGCTACTCAACACAGAAGCCACCACTGACTCAGATATCCTTAACATGTGGACCATGAGAGGCTGATCTGGGAAGCAACAGCATACTCCACTCTCCTCTCTTGGCATCAGCTATCAGTCACTCCCTGGGACAGGAGGCTACTATGCCTTCCCTAAAACTCTAGGTTTAACACAGTTCTTGATCTGACAGATACTGACATTTTGATGTGTTTGCTATGTTTATGCTCTTACGTCCTGCAAGTTGGAGAATAAAGTAACTCCAGGGTCATTCCTTTGTATATTTTGTGTCCTTGCCTTAAGACACACCTTTAACACTCTACCTATACTACACATCTGGCTCCAACCTGAACACAATGCAGTCTTCACCATATTCATCTTCCCAATGTTCTTACAAAGGAAGAAAAGAAGAGGGCAATTGGAAGCCCAGAGGTACTAAAGCCCGCATGTGTACTAAGACACCACTTATATATAAGCCCAAGTCTTTGGCTTTAACTGCAGTGTGCATTCAGCAGTAACTACCTTCACTTCAGAGCACTGGCTGCTCTACAATACCAGCACAACATGGTGATCCTCATGTGCACAGAAAGCTCAGTGTAGCCCTGGGCATATCAGAGTTGTGCAAAAAAAGTACTCTGGACATACTATCTTCTCTACCAGAGATGGAAGGATATTGGTGTGTGGGCACTTACTTTCCACTGATATTGAAACTAAAGAATTTGTCCATGTTTTCTCAGGAAGTTTGTGAACCAAGACCAACTTTTGCTTGCCTTTGTGCAGGCTTTAACAATCTTGGGTTAACTTCCACAGGTATTGACACCTTCACAACTAGATCCTGAATTGGCACAGCCTTAAAGAACAAGTTAAGTTACTTAAACCACTCAAGAAATGCTGAAATTATCCTTATATTCAGACCTACATTTGTAACTGCTAATGTGAAATAAAATTCTTCAGGAAATGTTTTTATACAGTAGCAAGGGTAAGGACTATAATAGCAGCAACATCATCTCTTATCAGAGTTACTAAATTTAGAAGAAAAACAAAAAATTTGCCGACACTGATTTACAGAGAGACATATGTAAACATTCATGTAGACAAGAGATTTATGTTTAATAATCAGTGAATTTTAGTGCTGTAACATTAAAGACTCCTACTATTAGAGCTGAACCAAAACAATGTGAGGAAAGTTAATGAACAGCCATCCCAAATGACATACATCTGATTTCTTACCTGAAGTACGTTCACCCATCCATCATTACTATTGTCCCAGGATAATGCTTCAGCAACCACATAACAAAAACGTCTGGTGAACTCCTAAGTGTTTAAAAAAAATATAAGCATGTTACACAACACAAAAGTCACCAAATCCATAGCAAATAGAAAAATAATACTTCATAATTCAGTCTGACACTGCATTTGGAAGGATTTCTTTTGTTCTAATTATTTTTTTAATGTAATTTTTTATTTAGACTTTCTCCGTGCATTCAAGCTAAATTGTGGAACATTTGGCTGAGGCAGAACCAGAACCACAGGAAACACAATCACTAGCAAGAATAATTAAAGACGGAAAATCAACATGACATGTAAAAATAGAAGAATCAGAAGAGAAAGAATCATCCATGGTTGTTTTAATTATTTGGCAACTATGCTCTATCTACATATTCACTTGTTGATATCAATTCGTACTATACCTAGAGAAGTTTTTCAGTTCTCACAGAAAAAGAAATAACATTTCCAAATTATGGTTATATTTTACAGAAAGAATGACTTATGCTAAATGTGAAATATGCCCTTCCTTATCATTCTTCCTTTATTTTCAGTTGTAAAGCTCTGTATTTCTTAAGTGTCCGGGTATAAAGAATACTTTAACATTCTGGACACGGCATTTTTTAGAGCTACCTTTTGACTTTAGACCCACAGCAGAAGTGTATTAAAAGGCTCTGCAACTTATATCAGTTAAATGGTATCTCTGCAAAGTCTTCTTTTTCTAAATCAAACACCAAATAAGAAAAAATGTGCACTGCTAGTGTTACATGCATCTGCTTGATTAACAGAGTAACGGTGCAGTCAACTAGACAGCAAATTAACCTTTCAGATTTCATGTACTGCAATTAACTCCCATGTTTACCAGCACAGCACTGTAAACTTCATGGACAAAACACGGTTTCTAGGGCACATGAAAGGTCCTCCTTCATAAAAGAATGCCAGTGGGTCTGTTTTTATGAAGGACACCGTACTTTATGGTGAATTACATCTATATCACATATTTTCTTCCTTATACACATAATAAAATTATCTTCAGCAGATCTAAGGTGCAAGATAGGAACATTCTGGTTTCTGCTACTTAACACAGTTGCTACTCATGGACAGTCCTACTCCAGTAAATAAGGCCTAGCAAAGTATCACTCAGGATATGGTTATAACTGTGTTTCACTACACCTCATTTATTATACGACAAAGTTTACTAAATCCATGCGCAGATACTTATCTTGTCATCTACAAAATTTTAAGTGTTTTATCTAACATTCAGTTTTCTAATTTGTGTCTTTTCACACCACCAATTTTACACAGCTGTCAAAAAGTCTACAGAACCTTGCCACCCATTACACAGAAGAGGCTTTAATGCAGCCCTGTGTTAAGAAATAACTTAAAAAACAGCATGAACAAGTGATATTCTTATTTCATCATGGACTCCTCTCATATTTGCTCTTTTTTACAAATTAAATAGATAAATCAATTTGTTAGCTCTCAGATCAAACTAGCCTAAAAAAAAAAAAATAGGTCGAGCTGTGCTTCCCCTACTCTCATGTTACAGTAGCAGCCACAGCCTGTCGTGGCTAATGAATACCTGCCTTTACGTCCACACAACCTGCTCAGCCTTCAGTGAGACAGCGCAGACAGAAGGGAAAGTTCCAAGGGCAATGAGTTGTTACCCAGGTGTAGATTAGACTGCACAACGTGGTTGAGTACAAACTGGATGAGATGTGAGACAAAGAACCCCGGCTCACCTTGCCTTTTGGTAGACATGGATTTAGCAGCATTTTTCAGCAGCAGAATACAGAACATTTAAATTGCTAATGTAAATTAGCTTTATCCAGAATGCATCTTATAAACCTGGTGAACATTCAAGCTATTGGGAGCTGGGGGGGAAGGGAGGAGGGAGAAGACCCTAAGTTACACTTCCCTGTCCATGTTTAAATCCTGTTAATATGTACTCAACAATGAAAGACCTAACACATAAACAGAGACACCTGACAGTTGTACCATTATCTGCGGTGGCTTTGGTCTAAAATTTTCACCTTACAGCTCTAAGGTATTGAAAATCCAGTCACTATTTTTGTTTCCACAAAATAGTGCTTTTAAAACTCAAGTGTCTTCCAAAAGAACCTTTGCAATTTCTGCAAGGGGACCCAAGATCACTGAGGAATGTAGGAAAACCAGAAACACCTCTAAAGCACTGACTGCTTACCTTTTAAAAAAAAAAATCAAATCAACTAATGAAAATTAGTTGATAAAAGAGCATGCCTAATTTATTTGACTGCAATTCCTACCTTAGGCCACATTAAGTATTAAACAAGAGACCATCAAAAAATTTGGCTCAAAGAGTGCTGGGGCAAGGGTATAGCGAAGAACAAAAGTTCATGTGAAATTCTATGCAGACCGTGTCTCCTAGGCCTTCCCTATGGACTAGTGATAGTCCCTACAGTCTCAGATGGTTCTCCACAAAATAATCATGAAGAGGAAAAAAAATCAAAAACACATTCCTGAGCCTGCAAGCAAGAAAACTGGAGAGAAACAAAAGAAGTGAGTCAACAGCCAAAGTAGAGTGTGATTCTCATCTGGTCAAGAATGAAAACCATTGTTGAAACACACAACTCAATGCTGTCCACAGATTTTTCTTCTCTCTGAAAAAAAAGTAACCTTTTGATGAAAGAAAGACTGAGGAATACTTTTATAAGTTATATTTCTTTGAAAATATATAGTAGGCACAAAAAAAAGTCTCAAAGGGGCAAAATGTTTAAAATAAAAATAAGGAACACAAAAGCACATGAAAGAACCTAAAATGCTTTCCAGTTCGTGGTGCTAAGTGTGTGCTTAAGCAGAACTATGGACCATTTTCGGGGAAACCTGTTCATGCATCATACTTCAGGCCTCGGCTTCAGCATCAGGAGCTCCTAGCAGGCAACTCAGATGGGCACTGTGGCATTTTCTAGACAGGGGTTCATGAGGGTCACCAACCTACCAAGACTCACCACCTCCAAAGACCAAATGAAGCAAAAGACAAAGCTACTATCGAGCTTTAACCTTTAAAATTAGACAACTTTTTTTCTGTTTGATTTCTTAAACCGAGCAGGACAGTCACATTAGTCAATTTTGATTACTTGATTTCCTTCCCAAGGAAATGGACAAGTATTGTTTTGTTTGCTTTGACTGCTTCCTGAGGCTGGCAGTCCTAGAATTCTAGAGGAAGAGTCAAGATTACTATGATCAAAATCCTTCTATCCCCTCCTTGCATCTCCATTTGCGACAGGAGAGCCCTCAAGGATTATTGCCTGAGCAGTGGCTTGGCCCTTCACATCACTTGCTCCAGTGAAAAGCAGCTGTACCACAGTCACCAATACCCAACAGAGATACAGCTGGGTGAGGAAGCCCCCTGCCAACAGCCCCTCTACCCTCCCCCAATCCTGAGCAGAGGTGTGGCTTGGAGATAAAACAATGAGGTCTATTATCTGCAGCTGAAGAGTCACCCTGGAAATCCTCCCTTTCTGCCAGGAATCATTAAAAGTAGTTTGTGTTGGCTGTGGAAAATATTCTCGCTCTTCTGAAGAAATGAGGTGCATTATCTGGGCATTGCTAGCTATCAGGCTCAGTCCCAGCATCACTGTCTACACAATGCCTCTTCTTCCTTCACACCAAGCGAAGTTTTGAGTGAAATGCATCAGAAAATATTGTTTCCTTCATAAATGCCATCACTGTCTCCTAAAAGAACTAGACTAGGAATTATTTTACAAGTAAAAGATCATTTGTAGTCCAGGGACTAAAGCACTACCATGAATTAGGTCAATCCCATCATTTGTTACTGCTCTAAAAGTACAGTAACAGCAGGAAGAGGGGGTCAGGGTGGAATAATCATTTGTTAACAATTTTAATAGTAAAGCTTTATTGGTTTTCCCTATGGATTCTCATAGTTATTACAGTGAAATTAAGTGTTTTTCCTCCAAGTGAACTCTTGTTAATCCTTTTATTTAGGTTCAGAGCTACAGTACATGACCCTGCAAGAACATTCATCTACAGTCACAGTTGGAGCTGCAGACTCACTGGCTTGAAGGAATTAATTTCTTTGCAAGGTGGAAGCAACTGAAAAGCCAAAGGCTTATCTACAGGAAAATCTGAATTTCACCAGCTCATACAAAGAACAGGACAAAACAAAAATGTATAATCAGACACCTCATCAAAAAGCAGATGTGGAAAAACTCTGGCACATTAGAGAAATACAGTTTGGGGAGGAAATATTCTAATAGTTTGTCATACCACATAACAAGCTTTAGGTCTTAAAAATAAAATACGAATTTTAAAAGCAGATTAAATTTGACTGCAATGAACTGCCACCAAGAGATTCACAGTGCTCAACCCAAGCCACCCAGGCTTTCTATTATCTCATACCTTTAACAGCAGCTTACTCATTTGCAAGACTCATCTGAAGCCAGTCATAATATTACAAAGTGAAAAGCCTGTTCTTGCTTCACCTTGGTCGTCAGCTTCTCAGTCCATTTTCTCCCTTGTACATAAATAACATTAAAAATGTACAAATACTAGAAAGTCAGACTCTTTCACTGGACATAATGGAAAAGTGTGCTACCAACAAAAATATTACAAAGCAGAACCATGGCCATCAGGTCACTGAGTGTTGATATTGAAACAGCTCATGACTAGGCAACCCAAAGCATGAGTGCCAACCTGCACCTGGAAGTTAAAATATGGATCTTCTGCTTTTGAAGGTTTTCAAGAAAGCACTTCAAAAGCAATTTTTAAGAGTTTAATAGTTTATTTTTCTCAATATTAAAAAAAAAAAAAAGGAAAAGAAAATTTATAATGCGGTGTTCAGATTCACAGAATATGCTGAGTTGAAAGCGACCCACAAGGACCATCAAGTCCAACTCTGTCCCTGCACAGGACCATCTCCAAGAGTCACACCATGTAGAGTATCATCCTAACACTTCCTGAACTCTGGCAGGTTTAGTGCTGTGACCACTTCCCAGGGGAGAGAGCCCGTTCCAGTGCCCAACCACCCTCTGGGTGAAGAACCATTTTCT